GCCTAGTTGTGAAAAATGTTTCCCTTGTTGAGCTCTAGCTACCACGTAAATTTGAGCTCATCTAGTTAATGTTGAAATTCGGGATTTGTAAACCCTCCACCTTGACTTCCACCGCGTGTGGCGGTGCGTGGGATTGTTCACGAGTGTTGTCTAGGTTTCAAATACCTTCTAGTGATCATGTGAACCTATGTCTAGCTTGGTTGCCAAAGATTCAATCGTTGGGTGTGGTGATCAATTTGGACCGCTACTAGTTTGTGTGATTGACGACAATTCGACCATTGGATCATAATGAAACTTTAGTATGTTATTCTCGAAGCATAATGTAGACTTTGGGCAGTTATGGATCATAAATCTAATTTGCGGATTGTTGTGGACCCCATTGTTGACCGAGAGTTGAATTGTGGTCAACATGTCTTGGAACGTTCTAAATAATAAAATTAGTACTATAGGAGACTTAAGTGAAGTCTAATGGGCCTACATGGGTTAGAGAGTGACTTGAACATATGTGGTATGATTATTATCTTGATTTCTTATATTGGTATCATCTGTGAATTTTACTTGGTCTTATAATGTGATTCTATTGAAATGTGATTATTTATATATTTTTATATATATATATTTAGCCATAGACCTATGTTTATCAAACAGGATTTGGCTTGTGTACTGATGATGATCGTGATATGTGAATTGACGTGCATATTCGAAAGGTGGTTGATTTACATAGATGGTATGATATGATGAAATGTGAGTGACTTTAATTTATGTGAATATGAAATGGTTTTATAATCATTTTTCCTATAAATTGTTAATTTTCATATTTAGCCAATGACATAGTTATATGAAGTGGGATTTGACGTGCATATTGGAAATATGGTTTGTTTTGTATGATTGACTTGATTTGATGAGGTGAGGGCTAGTGGTGGACCGTTAACCTATTGTCATGGGGTTTGTTGCTTTGAAACATGTGTCAATGCTCATTTCATTATTTCATTTCTTGTTTCGTTGAGCCTTTATAACTTGAGTAACTTGATTAATGTGTTGTTTCATTGATTGGTGGTTATACAATGTACTCCGCGATTCCGTTGAGTGACGGTCTGGAATCGTATCCTGGTTTGGATTCCGTTGAGTGATGGTCCGGAATCCTTCTTACTCCACTCTGCGATTCCGTTGAGTGATGGTCAGGAATCGTATCTTGGTTTGGGTTCCGTTGAGTGATGGTCCGGAATCCCTCTTACTCCGCGATCCCGTTGAGTGATGGTCCGGGATTGTATCCACCTTAGTTCATTGAGTTTAGTTTGAGATGGTTGCAAGGTGTATGCTTTGGATGAACTGTGTCGCTCTAATTCTACTTTCATTATGTATATGTGAATATGGGTGTGAGATGTTATGGTTGTTTGAAATGAACTTTTGGATGTCCGGGTGACTCTCTCGGAGTTTTCAAAAGTTTGGTATTGATTTCTTATGAAAGATTTATATTCAAGGTTTATAAATTGTGATGGATGGCTGGTTTTATTATTGACATGCTAATTTTATTGTCCCTCACTCGAGCCTCTCAGCTTATCTGAGTGCCTGATTTGCCAGTGCACCAAATTCCCTAATATTGGCATTGACTTTACATATGACAGGTCTGGGTAGATTATGAGAAACTGCTTGATATTTTGGTTCCGTTGAGTGGTCCGGAACCCAATGTCGTTGGATTCCGTTGAGTGGTCCGGAATCCTTGCTCTTGTTCATTCAGTAAGGTGATCTTAGAATCCTAAATTCAAGTAGATGAGAATTACCCACAATAGATATTGTGAAATAAATTAGAATTGCCATGATATTATTCATAACCCAAGTTGGGAATTATGTAGAGTTCATTAATTAAATTCGTGAAATGATATGTTTCTCACTGATTGATTAACGTAATTAAATATTAATATTGTGCTTCGTGATTACTTGATATGTTACAAGCTATGTATTGAGATATAATGTTGGAAGTATAGTGATTGATATGATGAAGTGAAATGTGATTTGACATGTGATTGAAATGCATATTGAATTGCTTGGGAGATGTGAGGTCTAGTAAATGACCGATAACCCATTGTGATGTGGATTTGTGCTCAATATTGCTTCGTTTCGTTGAGTTTAGTGAATTGGGTAACTTGAATCATGTCTTGTTCCTTCGAGCCGTTGTTATGCTTCTTGGACTTCCATTCAATTCGGTTGGGTGGATTGGAACTGAGTTCTGTTTGGATTCCGTTAAGTGATGGTCCGGAATCCCCTTTGGAGCCTTGGTCCGTTGGGTGGTCCAAAATCCCCTTTTCCAAAGATGTAGTCTTCAACTGAATTGTGTTGCTTTAGCCTTGCGTTTTGACTTGTTGTATGTGTTATTGATGATGTGATGGTTGACATTATTGATTGATGTGATTATGGAATGACGTTGGATATGAGTGGAGTTATCATGAGTATTTTAGTTGATTAATATTTCTAGAGAATAATATGTAATTTGTTAATTCTTAAATATGTTACACGCTATGAAACGCGAATTTATATGGGAAACGTGATGATTTATGTGATGGATGAAGTGGAAATGTTAATCGTCATGTGGGATTGTTATGTTGGATATCATTGTTATTGTTATGATTAGACTTGTTGATAAATGTGGCTCGAGAATGGTATTGTACATCGTTGGTTCTTTGAAATGATATATGTTGTGAATTGCGACATCATGTTGTGACATAACGGCCTATATATTGATGGAGGGAAATCATGATTTTCAGATGGGTTGTTATGTAACCCTGAGTCTAGTATTTTCATGCTTGTCACGTTCTATTGATTGATTGAGAAATGTTATACCTTTCGACTTATTCGGACTGTGTTATATGTCAATTATTGTGCATGACGAACTACGAATGGCTTGATCCCTGTTTAGGATACGTAGGCAGTCTAACGGGAAGGTTAGATACATCCATAAAGCATACGAAAAATAACTATGTGATTCGATTATTGAGTTGTGCTTGCCCATATGCCGGAGGTGGGATATGATAGATACGGATTTTTGGTGATGTCACGTGTCAATTCTGGACGTATGTCGGGATTGGAGCGTGACATATATAATGTACATAGGGGCTAAACATAGCACATTTAGTTGGAGATGACCTAAGCTTGGCTAACCCAATGCCCCATTGGTCATATTTTGGCTTGGTGAGCTTCACCAATTTTCAGTTGCGCCTTCGATTAGAGTTGGGTTTTGTCTAAATCAGAACACGTTGGGTGCGTTTGTTTTACCTCCTTAGGAGGGATTGGCTTGGACTGGCATTAAGTATGACTATAATATTGTGTTTGGTATATCCTCGCCGGGTTTGCTAAAGCAAGATATCTAATCCCAAGCTTTCGCTTGGTATTAAATGGGACTAGAAAGGAAGGCCGACATCTAATCCCCAAGTTTTTCTCACTGACATCTAGTCCTCGCTTATTCCGCAGTGCCGTCACCAGGGCGTCACGATGCTTACTCTTTTGTGGCCTAAGTTGGGAACTACAACTCATAGCCGAAGGTGGACATTACAGTCAAAATCAGCGTGTTAGTGAAGAACTTGCCGATGCTGCGAGCCGAGAAGCGGATAGAGAGGTTGGCCATGGTGGACGCCCACTTCTAGGTTGAATTTCAAGTCCCCAGTTGAAAAATCGCATTGAATTTGAAGAACTCAAATAAACGACAAGTCTTCGAGCTCTGTGGAAATTTCAGTGCTTTTTCTCTCTTTTCTAGAAAGCGGATGTTTGGCTTTCTGCTGCCCTAAGAAATTTGCAGGTTGGGTTGGATATTAAAATGGGAACTTTAACGACAAGCTCCCGCTACTGTTCACTTTAACGAAAAACCACATTTTTAAACTAAAAAGTCAATTCTGGTACTATTCATTTTACCCTTTATTTTGTTATTATCGTTAAAACTCAAAGTTTTCAAGCCTTTTCATTAGTTTTCCTTATTAAAAGTAAAATTGGGGAAATCGAAAAAGGGGTTGAGTTTTTTGGGCATATTTGACAATTTGACGGGGGGAGGGGGAGAGAGAGGAATGGAGGGGTAATTTGGAAAAATGAAAAAGGCTTGAAAACTTTAAGTTTTAACGATACGGACAAAATAAAGAGTAGAGTGAATAGTAACATGATTGACTTTTTAATGCAAAAATATGGTTTTTCGTTAAAGTTTCATTTGGAAAATGAGGAAAGATTGAACATCAATGGAAAGATGAGTTTGAAAGTTCGAAAAATCAATGTGACTTTTATCTGGGTTCTTCTAATTCATATGAGTGGTAATTCAATAGAAAGTTGAGTTCCCGATTGAAAAATTCCAAGGTTTTTTTGCTGGGCTTTTGGGTTTCATTGATTTATCGGAAAGTTTTGTTTTTGGGTATAGAGAAAGTAAAATTTGAGGGTTTAGATCACGTTTCTGAGAGAATGTAAAATTTGGTTGCTAGGTATGGTTGGATTCTGCATAAATTTTTGATGTTGGGTTCAATTTTTTTGCATTAGAAAATTCAGGATAAAGTTTTGTTAACAAAAACCTTTTTTTCCTTTTTGTCCTTATTCTGCTTCTTGTCCGATTCTGCACCAAATGCTTCACTAAGTCAATCGAGTTTAGTCTAGTCCAAACCAATCTAGCTTAATCTATAAAACTAGTATAGTCCAAAATAATTCGGTGCAACATACGCACCCGTTAAAATTCAGCCCCCTCAATTAGAGTTGGCCTTATCGTTTCCCTTCCAGTAATATGAGAGATACTGGACAAATCCATAGGTTGTCCTTTTTTTTTTTTTTTTTCCTTTTACTTTTGGTAATTTCTTAACAGTTACTATTTGCTCATCTATCTAGCTTCTTGCTGTCCTAAAATCCAGGAAAGCGCAAATTAGGAAAGAATCGAAATCAATAATATAGTCGAAGCAGAAACCCATTCTGTGTGGGAGGTGGATCAAATAGGAGGAGAGATCTGGAAACGCATCGGATAAAAATATTATCCAGTTGATCCAAACACCCCCATAACCCCCACACTTTCAAGTTTCCTCCATCGAAGAGAGAAGATGAATATATTCAGATTAGCAGGGGATATGACCCATTTGGCCAGCGTTCTGGTTTTGCTTCTCAAGATCCACACTATCAAATCCTGTTCTGGTTAGCTTCCTCTTCCTCTTTTCAATTTCTGTGAATTTAGCTCCCAATTAGTCGTCTTTTGTGATTTCATTTTCTGGGTTTTGTTTGGTTGCTGAGAAATGGCCGAATACAAGGAAAAATTTGAAGCATTTTCGTTTTGTTTTCGCTGTTTTGGGTTACATGGCTGAGTTTTCTAGATTTCTGGAGGATGAGTTTACTTAGTTTAAGCTAACCATTATGAGATTTAGGGGGTGCAGTCAAACTAAGATTTTGAAGGATTTTAAATGACTTTGAAATCAGAGTGTAGTCAATTAAGATTTTAAAGGAGGATTTTAAAAGACTTTGAAATCATGGTGTAGTCGAGGTAGGATTTGACAGGATTTAAAAGAATACATCCAAATCTAGGTGTAGCCAATTAACATTTTAAAAGTGTGCATACAAATCTGTTGTTATTCAAAATGTCATAGAGTTTGAAGGATTCTTATAAGCGAGAGATTTTGTAGGATTTGAGAGTGAATTTTATGCATAACAAAGGCTATAAAGAATCTCATCTCCACCCCTAGGATTTCTATTCAAGCTTTCTCACAACTTGACTTCTCTCTTTCACCACGCCCTACTTTTTCCTTTCCTTTCTATGCTATGCATAGCAGCCATGGCTGCCATTCGCCGTACCCTCCATATTCTTTCACATCAGAGGTTTTTTTTCACAAAAATTAAGGTGTCTTTTATTCACAAACAAAGTTTTGATCAAATAAATTACTTCCAAGAATGTAAATTCAGGAAATGATCTCTGTGCAAGATAAAACAGGAGCATAAAGGACTATATAACCAAGAGGAAGACTAATTGTAATGGTTTTACTAGGCAAATACTATTGTTATCTGACACCAGCAAACTAAGAGTTATCTTAATAAGCATTTGTACCGTTCAAACATCTCTTGCTAAGCTGTAAATAATCTAGAGAAAACAATTTTGAATTTTATAAATGTGACATCAAGGATAAATCTAGACAGTGACATATACATGTGAAGATTGAGAAATTCAGGGAGGTGACTAAGCAATTGAAATCATATTGAATACACAAAATAAAAACTTAGAAAATAGTCAGTCAATTGTTAGCTTTCTGTGATTTACACCAGCAGCTTGCTGGTGTTTCCACTGGAGCAATCTCAACTTCCCAGGTCCTTGCATTTACAAATTATAACTGACCAAATCATAGTGAATTTCAAACTTGTTTTCCTTGCTTTTTTGCTAATAGATATATTTCATCAAAAAGAAGAGACAGATCCTTCTGGAATGTGATTTGGTTGTCTATTGTCTTTAATAGAAAATTTTGTATTAATCAAAATCCCCATCTTCGTGTTCATACTCTCACCTTTCTTCCCTGATAACATACGTTTTACTTGGTGGAATGGCGCAGTTGTGTCGATGGATGAAGCTGCAATAGTCCTTGTGCTCGTGGACCAACTAATGGAAGATTATGCAGTGTCATACGTTTCCTGTCAATCCTGCCCAACGAATGAAAAATTTTAAATCGTGCAAAGAAAATTTGTTGTCATGAAACGTATATTTTGAAGTAATTTTGAGCCAATAAATTTTTTCTCTATTATCATTTTCTCCAATGTTTTCATCAGCCATTTTTTCTCTGACATATTCTTATGGTCTGTTCTTTTCTGATCCTAATTGTCCTAACTGCACCCAAACCAAAATGCTTCATATGGGTATGGTTAATCTCACAAAACAAGCTCCTCTCCTCACTGATGAACTAAATATTAATGGACCAAGGCTTATCATTCAAGTTAAGCCCTCACTCGGTTGAAATGAACCCACATGAACACAAAACTATATCTCAATTCAAATGAGAAATCTATGAAAGAAGTCCATAGAAATCCATGAAAGAATTCCATATAAATACATAGAAATCTATGATAGAAATCCATATAAATCCGCCAAAATCCATATAGGATTATAGAGTCTATTAAAATCCTTTGAAATCTATCACTTTAAAAAATTCATTAAAAAATCCATTATAGAGTCTATTAGTTTAAGCTAAACACTAGGGTTTAATGTTTTCGCAAAATTGGATTTACTCTCTCTCTCAGTAATTAAATAGTGTTTTGGAATTGGAGGTTTTGAAGGTTTAGGTTGAAGATACAAGTGTAGAAATGATTGCGGTATGACAGTTTCATATAGGATTATTTGTTGTGTGTAAGATCTAAGATTACATTACTTGTTGCTTATGTACTTCGGTTGTAAGGATTATTTGGAAATGTCGTGGCCTACTTTTCGGTAAAAGATAGCTGGGTTGTGGTGTTTACGGGGTAGTTAAATGTCACCTCTGAATTTAATGGAGGTGATGGTGAGATGTATTGATGAGGCAGATGTGTTTGTCAATTTCCCCTTTACCTCTATTGATGCTAGTTTGATTGGTTGCTGTATGTTTCCGAGGAGGGAAAGGATACTAATGCACCGGTAGACGGTCTTCTATGTGTTATTGGTAATATGATCCCAATATGGGTAAAGAGGTAGGTTTATAGAGTCATAACTACTAGTTGAAACGTTGTTCTTTGAAGACACTCATCCCATGGTAATAAACGGATTCAGGACTCTCTTTTTTCTTTTGGGTAGGTTAAAGAGTTAAGAGTTTGCTGACAGAATCATTGGTGTTACCCAAGTAAATAAGCTGTATACAGAAATTAAAGGGGAGCTTTCAAACAGGCACATCAAAGATTAAGCTTTCATCTCCATCAAAGAATGTCCTACCCCTTCAAAATACTTCTATTTCCCTTTTGTTCATGCAAGCCGGTACTGATCCTCTAAACCCGTTGGCTTCTTCTTTTAAAAAATATGCCATGTCATCCTCAAAGTAAGGCACAGTTGGTCTTGGAAGCACCAAATAGAACTGAGATAGGGAAAAATGTGTCCCCAGAGCTATCAAACAATGCCGCTAGAGATGGTTTATAGATTCTTATGCCCTTGTATCTTAAGTGTCTTATGGTCTTACTTTCATTTTCTTTGCTTTTCTTGTTTACTTTTTTCACACATGGGTAGCTTCCCCTTGGTGCTTCGAAGTGAACATTTGATGCAAAAATAAAAGATTTAGAAATTCTGCAGTGCAACTGACTAGGCATATCAAGGAAGAGGTCATGTGGTTGATGTTTGTAGTCATGTGGACCATATTATTTAGTCTGAAAGGACACACAAGTTGCAAGATTATAAAGAGCTTCTTCACAATTAGGGTTCTGTATGAGTTTGTAACTGAAAGATTTTATTACATTCATACAAGGAGTTTGAACAATCAGACTGGGATGATGGCGTAGAGATATGTGTATGAGGGGTGCTTGGCCGATTCATTAAGGAGAAAGGACCAAGGACAATGGTATACCTATATGTGGGGTTCTTGGATGTATACGGAGGCGCATGACTTAAAGTAGTATATGCAAATTATCAAGTGATCCTAAAAGTCCACCAAATTGGAAAATAATTTCTTTAGAATAGGATGAAACATTTGACTGCATCCAGTCCATCATATGCTAAATTGATTGTCGAGTGGATAATAATTAATTTTAATGTCCTATTCTTTTCACTCCTAATCTAGTATGTAATGCCTGCTTAAAACTTGTATTGTCTCTTAAGTTCTACTTCGCTTGTTCCACGCAGGTGTTTCCTTGAAGACTCAAGAACTCTATGCTCTTGTCTTTGCAACCCGCTATTTGGATATTTTTATTACCTACGTCTCGTTTTATAATACTGTGATGAAGTTGATATTTTTGGGTAGCTCTTTCTCAATTGTTTGGTACATAAGGCGCCACAGGGTTGTTCGGAGATCATATGATAAGGACCAAGACACATTCCGCCATTTATTCCTTCTGCTCCCTTGTCTTGTTTTGGCCCTGGTTATAAATGAGAGGTTCACTTTTAAAGAGGTAACTATTTAATTCCATTTTATTCTTATTGGATAATTTGATGATATCCTTTTATCTTCTATGTTTTGTGGCTTCGATGTTCATGTTCTAGTCGAACTGTTTGACCACATTCAGGTTTACAGTAAAAGTATCAATTGAGATTATGACAGAGCAAATACCGTTCTTTTCACATTGCTCACATTCTTGTGTGCTTTTACTAAATTGATTGAGCAGGTGATGTGGACATTTTCCATATATTTGGAAGCAGTTGCCATACTTCCTCAACTGGTGCTGTTGCAAAGGACAAGAAACATTGACAACTTAACAGGGCAATATGTTTTCCTTCTTGGGTAGTAACTACTTTTGACTTGCATGTGGTACTTCAGAAAAATAAACTGTGGTTCCCCTATATATTAGATTGTATTTGATACATTATACGTTTTTCTTATATCACAACGCTTTGTTGTGTTCTCATGCTCATCATGTTTTCCAGCATCATATTTATGCTGTATGTGACCGTAATTTGAATCTCTTATTACAGAGCATATCGAGCATTATACATATTGAACTGGATTTATCGCTACTTTACTGAGGAACACTATGTCCACTGGATAAGTACGATCTCTCTCTCTCTCTCTTGTTGTATCTTCTTTTGTCTGTGCTAAATGTGCACTTCTCAATGATGCCGTTTTTCTGTTCCTGCAGCTTGGATTGCAGGGATTATCCAGACTTTGCTCTATGCTGATTTCTTCTACTATTACTTCCAGAGGTATAAGCTTAGCCATTTTTTTAATATCAGTAGCATATGGTATAATTGTACAAAACGCTGAGTTCCTTTATTATTCTGCAGCTGGAAGAACAGCGTAAAGCTCGAGCTACCAGCTTGAAAGGGTCTTACATGTCTACTGCCTGTCAAAGTTTGCAAGAGGATACTTGAATCAGTGGTATTTTGTAGAAGCTTCACATGTCCTTTAATTTATTTATTTTCCCCTTTGAATCTGTGGTAGTATTTGTTGATCCACGACAAATATTCAACGTTGTCATTAAGCGGGGATTGGACTTGTAAAACTATATTACTCAGTTTGTAGCACATCACTCACACTCTCCACCAAACAGTTTGTATGGATAGTATTTTAAGATGAAAATGTCATAGTGCAAAATTTTTTAGGGAACTTCAACGAAAAGCTACTGATATTGTTTACTTTAACGAAAAATCATATTTTTACACTAAAAAGTCAATGGTGATACTATTCATTTTACCTTTTATTTTGTCCTTATCGTAAAAACTTCAAGTTTTCAAGCTTTTTTCATTAGTTTTCCTAATTTTTTTAATCATGCCTACGTCTTGTTTGCTTTATGTCAATCCGTGTGTATAAAGTTTTAAGAGAAACAACTTTCACGCTCCCTTTTTCTCCTCTAGCACTCCATTGCTTGTTTCTTTCCTTTGATTCACCGTGGATTTGTTCAATCTCTGGCTGAAAACAAGGGGAGTATTAAGGGGATACAGACGGAGGTGAAATTCATTTCTCACAAGTTAAATGTACGTGAAATGTTGTCACATGACACGTTGTGTTCAACATTTAGCCATTTTCTCAAAAGTTAGGTGTATTTGAAATACAAGAAAGACAATATTTGAATTTGGTCCAATAAATAATTAATTGGTTAATTCACGCGAATCATTAAGCAATCTCCTAAACGAGTGAAATTTAGAGATGATGATGATTAAAGAATGAATGATTCTGTATAAACAGTAATGATAGCATGTCATCGTTAGTTAAGGCATGATTTCTTACATGTAAGAATCCAAGTATTGTTTGTGGTAAGTGGGGTCGGCTATATGTATCCGAGAACGCTATTGCGCTTGGTTCTATGTCGTGGAAGTAACTACCAAAAAAAAAAACAAAAAAAATTCAATGATCCTCAAATTTTCAGACGTTTGCTCGGCCTGGAACAGCTCGGCCACTCCTTCTGGGCCTCCTGGCAGCGCTCCAAGAGACTTTCGAGCTCGTTCATGAGAGGTTCGTCGGCACGAACCGAGTCATCGACAATGTTTAGAAACTCGGTCAGGTCTACAACTTTCTGGGAATATTGGTGCACTTGCTCCAGGAATTCGACGTACTTGTCTACATCACCATTAAATATTTCTTCAACTTTTGCGCACAGAAAACGTGACTTATCGTCAATCTCTTTGTTTTCCAGTCGCATATTTTGTCTCTTTTCTTTCAACTCCCCCTCCATCTCCTCAGGGGTATTGGAACTTTTTGGGGCCATAAGTCTGCGCTTTCCACTCTGTGAAAGCCCCTCGTCTTGTAGCTTGCGTTTCGACCCGATTTTCTTCATTCTGTATTGTGTGAGAGAGAGAGGGGCACGCGATCGATTTGAGCAAATTAGGGTTGTGATGAAAATTGTTCAGAGAGAAGGATTGTGATGGTTTGGTGGGTAGATATATAGGTTTAAATGGCTATTTCCAAATCCGGCTGGGAATTGGAGTTGGAGTTGGAATTGGAAATACTAGCCGTTAAGTTCCTTGCGAGTTGGGTAACTTACTACTTTCAATTTTGTTTTCCTAATCTTTTATGGAAATCACAATCAGACTAACAATCGAATACCTGAGCAGTGAAGGTGTGTTCGTCTCTTCAATTCTTTTTTTTCAGTTTATATTTTGTGCATTGTAATTTTTACTGTTAGAGTAATAAAAAAAAAGAGATAATAAGTCAAAAAATTCCATACATACATGTTATCTATTGTAAAAATGATATTATTCAGACACAAAAAAATGACATACTTGCTAACACATTCTCTAATAATATGGTCATAATAATAGCGCATGAGACTCATATCTATTCGTCAATTGCGGATTTGTCCGCCAGTGAAAAATGAACACCAATCACGCTCTCTATACACCTCCCAAGGTGAAAAGTCATTTAGGAACTCCTAAATCTAAAGGAAAGAAAGAGAGTCCTAATGAAGTAGAGCTTTTCTGAAGAGCCGTGCGACCCAAGTCAACACAGCTCCCACCTTTGTGAGAGTCAAGGAGGGAACGTTTATCATTCGACTAACTTTTATCTTTTTAGCTAAACGTTTGTTCAGCAGGATTGGAATGCTCTTAGTTTTATTAATTGTGTGTCTAAATGGAATGAATTGGAAATATAGGTCAAACATACGATATCTTCGTAAGTACGAAGACAAGTTACAGTCCCCTAAACGAAATAGGGATTTTGGACGATAATAATTTTACAAACTACACATGCTAAGCATGCACTTTTAAAACAAATTATATAATTTACCGTGCGATATTTTTGAACATCATCAGATGTTTGGTGTTGAACTTCCTTCACTCATTAACCTCCTCGTCAACCTCTTCTTCATCACCATCAACCTCAGCAAACATTCCAGCGAATTTAGAGAAATCAATGTTCTGCATTGCCGAAAACATATCTTCCATAGAAAAAGAAAGTCGCTCCTTCGATCCTTCGCACATAAACATCTTAATGTTGGAAGCTAGCCGAGATATCTCCTCGTCGTCCTCTTTAAACCCAATACAATCTCTGGCATCCAAATAATCAAGATCTTTGCAGCCCTGCAGTAAAACGACGAGACTGTCCCTATCAATGTTTGCCCGATGCAGGGTAAGAAGCGTGATATTAGGCACCAAGTTGCCAATCGCCGTTGCCTCATCTTTTCCAACGTGGGCATTCGACAAGATTAAATGAAGAAGAAACTTGCAGTGGACGCTAACCACGGCAAGTATTTTCTCCAATTCGTGGCAGCAGCCCAAAGACAGTATCGCCAAGCATTTGAACTTTCCAATTAATTCTACATTTATGCTACCATACAGCAGAAATCTGGGTAAACCCAGAATCACAAGGTCAGGACACCTGCAAAAATGTAATAGTATATAAGCAATCCATGTCGAAGAAATTGAAGAGTGAAACATTCTCTAACAGAGAGGCGAGCCCTACTATTATATGTAGAACTATACTATTTTTCTAGAGGGTGTGTCATTTTTGTAATTAGACGCAATGGATGTTGCAGGTCCCAGATAGAAAATAACAACAGTTCAAGGTATACCAGAAGACATAAAAAAAAGACAAGAAGAAACGACTTACACATTAGCAACATGCTCAAACGTTTCAGCTGTGCAGCAACCAGGTAGCTTGACAGAAACAGCACTTCCGCGGCTACGATTGACTACAAGCTTTATAAAATCAGTGACAGAGAAGCGATCCTCACCGACCCGATATTCAGTAAGAAATCTATCGTAAAAGGGATATGGATCGAACTCAAAAGGCTCGGGTTCAAATTCAGGGAAAACAAGATTTTTCCAGCATGAAGGATTTAGGGTTGCTTTGTTCCACGACTTGCACACAAAAGGGACATCCAACAGCAGCGACTCCACTCCAACCTTTTCAAATACTTTCACCAAGCAGTCCATCTTTAAGTCCTCCCATCTTCGTTCATCTTCCATCTACATTAATAAGAATCCGGATATAATTTAAACATATAGCAAGAGTTATCAATCAACTAATTTTTATTTATTTATTTAAAAAGTTCAAGAAAATTAATAAACGGCTAAAATTGAGAAAAGAATCACCTTTCAACTCGAGGGATTATGAGAGAAAGTGTGCTAGTTTGAACATAAATTATGTAAGAAAACAAATGAATGCTTGTTAATTCCCACAATTTAAATTCAAACACTAAATTACCTTAGCCTTCAATTTCGAAAGTAGCGCAGAGGAAGTCGTTCCCAGAGAGAAAGAGTAAGCTCGCTGTGATGTCGCGTTGTAGGAAATCTGAGAAAGTCGTTCTGTGAAAGAAAGATTATTTGGGCGACTTCTGCTTTTTTTTTTTTATGTTTTCAATGCTTGAGGTGTTTGATAAGACTCTGGTGGGGAAAAGTTGAATTCACAGTAAAATTCCAAAGCAGCAATGCTGCTTTTACTTTACTTTTCTGCTTTGCTCGAACTGAATTGGTGGGAAAAAAGTTAAATTAACACTAAAATTCAAAAGCAATTACAATGCTGCTTTCATTTCAGCTTTTGCGCAAATTGCATTGGTGAGAAAAAGTTGAATTCACACTTTAAAATGCTTTTTTATTTCAGCTTTTCTGCTTTTGCTAAAAGCCTCAAACTGAATTGGTGAGAAAAAGTTGAATTCATACTAAAATTCAAAAGCAGCTAAACTGATGCTTTTATTTCAGTTTTTCTGCTTTTTCGCAGACTGAATTGGGAAGAGGCAGATGTTGGAGATTAAGCTTGTTGCAGGATCGAAGTTTACTTGGATTTCAAGTTTTCTGTAAAAGTTGAAGTGTTGTTCTTAGTTATATCTAGAACACTCAGTCACAATGTGTGACTGAGATTAAAACATCTTAATAGCTTGTATTGTGCAATCTGTCTTTTCTATTAGAAGTTTAAGTGAAAACATGTGCCGCTCAGATGGGGTTTGTTAGCTCTAGACTCGTGTGAAGCGTGTGAGGTCTAACGGCTACATTCCTTTTGTTTATATGCCTTCATGCTTCTCGTGTGAAGATGAGTATGATCCAATACATCACACTGCACTGAGAGTGACGAACTCTCTCTGCAAGTTTACAGAACATTCATCTTGCCTTCATCATCACAATCTTCGTTCATTTTTTCAGATTTTGGAATCCAACTTTTTCACAAAGTTAACAGCGGATAGATTCAATAAAATTTTCAATTTGCCTGTATTGTCCTCGTTTGTTTTTGAAAATGGTGTGAATTACCCTCGATCATTTTCACGATTGAACTTCTCTAGCTGTTTCTTCCAGCAGACCACAGGCGACGAGTTCTTTACTGTTCCTATCTTCAAATTCGTCATGAGCTCTTTATGTTCATGGATTGCGCACCGCCGTTCTTTTTCTTCGATGAGGTAACTTATTTCCGTGTGAATTTTGTTTTCAGGACGATATATCAACACGACGGAGTGCTGCAAAAAGGAGCTTCGGTTGAGTTAACTTGTTAGAACTGGTGTCTATATTTTTAAGAATGTTGATGGGAAAGGACCAAAGAGCTTCGTTGATGCTTTATCTTCGAAGTTCTCTGTTGTATGTATGACCTGATTGGTCCCTAAATCGAGAAAGCATTCCTTCCTTGAATTCTGTGGTGTTAAGTTTGTATTGAACATGCTTAATTAGTTGAGTTTGTATTCTGGCTCAGTGTTGATTCTTTTTTATGTTTGTATGATCAATCAATTCATTGTTGAAAGTAGTTAGTAAAATACGAAACCGAACATAGTACGTGTATTATTCGGCAACTTTGCTAGAAGTTTTTTTTTTTTTTTTTTTTTTTCAAACAAAGCTTTGCAAGAAGTTTACTTTGGAAAGTTTGGCCTTTTTTTTTTAATTTTAATATTTATTAATTTATTTAAATCAATTACTTATTTTATTTTTCAAAAATATATTAAAAATATGTGCAGAATACGTGAAATTTATATGTATTACTGAAAAATATGTGAAAATAATGTGTATTAATGTGAATAGTATGTACGTACGTGCTCAAAGCATGTATTGTATGTTAGAAATTTAAAAACATATAATTTATTAATTTAACGAATCATTAAAACGTGAAAATAACATTATTTTGAAAACTACATAAATACATATATGATAGGCATATTAATATTATACACGAATTGAAGCAGACATTAAGACAAAACTGGGCCATTTCTTACAAAATCATTAAAACAAAGGTAATTAGGCCTATACTGATTTAGGGCCAAAAAGGGTTTTATTTTACACGAATTGAAACGTTGGTTTGTATATTCTTCCTTTTTTTACTCAAGCAATATTTTAGAGGGCTAAATCAAATTTAGAACCTCGAGTATAAACAATAAACACTCTTAACCAACTTAGTTACAAATTTATTGCACGCTTTTTTTTTCCGATCATTTCTCTCCTTTTCCTCCAAAAAAATTAAACTCTGGTTGGGATTTTTGTCTCTATATTTAGGTAAAAAAATGATGTGACCCCAATTGCATGGAAATAAAAATTGAGCACCAATTAACAATGGGTGCTTATTTTCTAAAAAAGGGGAAGAGGTTCTTGTTAATTAGTTATAACTTATTTTTAATTCCAGCAAATGAGTGTGTTTTCCTCAGACAAACATCAAAGCAAACAGCTCAAGCACTTGTAAGAACACGTCGAAGGTCGTAACAAAAAGTCCAAACTGATACAACTACCATCCCTCAATCTTCCCTTATATACCATTGGGTTTCATGGAGTTTCTCAGCAATCATCTGACCACCTCCTCCTTCTAAGGAGGACGAAGAAGTTTCTTGCTCGAATAAAAAATAAAGAAGTTTCTTGCTCGTATACACAATGGCGGTACCAATGAGTCGAGTGCTCTTGATTTCTCTTGTTTTCGCAGTGATCACAGCCGCGCTAGTCCATGCCAAAGGCCATGGACATCATCATCGTCATCATAATCAATCATTGCAGGTTGGCCCCGTGACATATGATGGCAGGTCACTGATTATCAATGGGAAACGCGAGCTTCTGTTTTCGGGTTCAATCCACTACACGCGAAGCACGCCAGAAATGTGGCCTGATATTCTCGAGAGGCCAAGCGCGGAGGCTTGAATGTAATTCAAACTTATGTGTTTTGGAACATTCATGAGCCTGTGCAAGCGCAGTACAACTTTGAAGGAAACTATGATTTGGTGAAGTTCATCAAGCTGGTTCAGAAGCATGGAATGTATGCTACCATTAGGCTTGGTCCATTCATCCAGGCTGAATGGAACCACGGAGGACTTCCTTATTGGCTAAGGGAGGTCCCCGGAATCATATTCCGTTCTGATAACACAGCATACAAGCACCACATGAAGAATTATGTGGATATGATTGTGAAAAAGTTGAGAGATGCGAAGCTGTTTGCTCCACAGGGAGGTCCGATTGTCTTGGCACAGATTGAAAATGAGTACAATATGGTCCAGCTTGCATATAGAGAGTTGGGAAACAATTACGTGAAGTGGGCAGCAGAGATTGCAGGTGAATCAGAACATCGGAGTGCCATGGATCATGTGCAAGCAGAAGGATGCTCCTGATCCAGTTATTAATACTTGCAATGGAAGGCACTGCGGAGATACATTCACAGGCCCTAATAAACCCAACAAGCCATCTCTATGGACTGAGAATTGGACTGCTCAATACAGAGTATTTGGTGACCCTCCTTCACAAAGATCAGCAGAGGATATTGCATTTTCCGTTGCTCGCTTTTTCTCAAAGAACGGAACTCTAACCAACTACTATATGTACCATGGTGGCACAAATTTTGGAAGAACAAGTTCTATTTTCACAACCACCCGTTACTATGATGAAGCTCCTCTTGATGAATATGGTTTGCCAAGGGACCCCAAGTGGAGCCACCTCAAGGACTTGCACAAGGCTTTGAAGTTATCCAGGAAGGCTTTGCTCTGGGGAGTTCCGGGAGTTCAAAAGATAAGCAAAGACATAGAGGTTCATTTCTATGAGACAGCCACAACCAACATCTGTGCTGCCTTCCTGACAAACAACAACTTCCAAACTGAAGCAACTGTTAATTGGAGGGGCGTGGATTATCACCTGCCACCCCGTTCCATTAGCATCCTCCCCGACTGCAAGACCGTGGTCTTCAACACTCAGAGAGTTGTCTCGCAACTGAACTCTAGGAACTTCGTTCGATCAAAAGTTGCCAATAATCTCAAATGGACCAAGTATGTAGAACCAGTTCCTAGCACCCTTCAAGTTCCAGTCAATAACCCGACCCCGCTGGAGTTGTACAGCTTGTTAAAAGATACCACAGACTACGCATGGTACACCACTAAGCTGGCACTGAGTCCACAAGACTTGCCCATGAAGGAAAGTATTCGACCAGTTCTTCGAATCGCAAGTCTTGGTCACGCATTGCACGCATTCGTCGATGGGGAATACATTGGTTTCGCACACGGGAGCCACGATGAGAAGAGCTTTGTTTTCGAGAAACCAGTTCCCTTGAAGGCTGGAATCAACCAGATTTCTCTGCTTGCAATGACAATAGGACTTCCAGATAGCGGAGCCTACATGGAGCACAGGTATGCAGGGCCTAATCTCGTAGCAGTACTAGGACTGAACACCGGAACATTGGATCTCACACGAAACGGATGGGGGCATCAGCTTGGTCTGAGTGGAGAAAAGCTTCAAGTGTTCACTGAGGAGGGATCGAAACAAGTTCAATGGCATAAAACAAAGGAGCACCAGAGGGTCTCACATGGTACAAGACTTATTTTGATGCTCCAGAAGGCCATGACCCTATTGCTATACGAATGGCTGGAATGGGAAAGGGAATGATTTGGGTGAATGGTAAAAGCATCGGCCGCCACTGGACGTCCTTCCTCTCTCCTCTAGGAGAACCAACTCAAGCCGAGTACCACATCCCAAGGTCCTTCATTAAACCTAAACAAAATCTCCTTGTTGTGTTGGAGGAGCAGCCAGCCAAGCCCAAACCCATCGAGATCCTAACCGTCAACAGAGATACTGTCTGTAGCTTCATTACTGAATATCATCCTCCGAATGTGAATTCATGGGAAAGGAAGACAGCGTTTTCCAACCTGTGTTCGATGTTGTCAAATCATCTGCAAACATCAAGTGTCCAAAGAACAAGAAGGTTGTTGCTGTTGAGTTTGCAAGCTTCGGAGATCCAGCTGGCACCTGTGGCAACTTTGTCTTGGGAAAATGCAACTCCCCTGTATCTAAGGAGGTTGTTGAACGACATTGCTTGGGAAAAACTATCTGCTCAGTCCCGATTGATCGCAATCTTTTCGCCAGCAAAACCGATGGTTGCCCTGATATCAAGAAGACACTTGCTATCCAAGTCAAGTGTGCTATATAACTATATAAGGTGTTATAAGAGAGAATTTATGTTTCCTGTGATATTTGTCATTGTGAATTCAATCAAAAATACTACTGCAAGCTTAAGTTTTATATTTCTTCGTAGTAATTAAGATTGTCGTTACCTCCTCAGCAGAAGAATTGATCATAACGAATTACGTAACCTATATAATTTCATTTTTCTAATTTTCCTTGCAGCTCAAGTTCATAGACAACAGGAATGGTTAATGACATACGTTGTGTACAGTATAATGAAATTTACAACAGAATCTAGTAGCACATCTGTACAGACGAAACACAAACATACAAGAAACCTGTCCGATCCAGAATGCTTCGAGTCTGTTACCTTTTGCATCAGTTTATGCTCCAACTTTTTTAAGAAGCTGCTTTTAAAAAATTTTAAGCAACCCCAAACGAGCCCTTAGTAGCATGCTTGTTAACTGATCACACCAACAAAACAACAAAGCTTCACATGCTCTAGGCTGACTTGATAGAGTGCTCAGACCTGAGAGAAAACCAGATAATAATTCCGGTTTTACCGTTTGGCCGCCAAAATGGAAGCTACGTGACCTGCATCGCAGAGGATTTTCTGGAATTTAGATCAATCGTGCTGATTAATTACATAAGAGCACATAATTTCTTCCCAACCGAAGCTACTCAGGCATACCAAGCTCAAACTTATACATGACCTACAACATAACACATGAAGGCCTACAAATAATGAAAAACTGCAAAGTCATAGTCATATTACCTTGAGCAATGTATCGCCGGCCTCTCAGTTAAATGACATACGATAGTGCATACATCACCATCATCAAACATAATGAACTTACTAATGTTGAAAACATAGAGCCAACATAACAAGGAAAGCAAATCATATAATATATTCATGATCAGACACGAATTTCTTGCGATGCAGAAGCTGAGTAAATAGTTCGATCATATAATATAAGTTAATTGAAATCGTAAAATTCAAATTCAGGCCTCATACATAATTTACTTGTATTTAGGGAGCACAACAATCTCGTTTGCACATACAAATTCCAATCACTTTTCGGCATCTTCGATCTTCTTCAGACTATAATCATCTCTGTCCCTCTTCAAGCTTCACCAAACTCAATCTCAAATTAGTTACAAGTTGCGCGGTACAAGAAGGCAAAACAAAGAGTTGTCTTGGCGGCCTTTCAAAGAAATCTAGAAGAAGCTAGCAGAGTCCATTAAACCGCAGCACAATCGAAGTGAGGGTGGAACGTTAGGAGAGTAATGTAGTGTTATGGTTTCATCCTCTAAATTGAAAACACTTATAATCACATGGCCTGATACCATCAGGCAATCGCCCTCGTCCAAATTCTATCTCGTCATCCATGTAATATGTGAAATTGGAATTTCGGATAGCACCAAGGGAAGTTCGAAGCCAAAACAGAAATAGAATAACTGTCAACCAGGAACAAAGCCTCATCTCGGACATTTTTTAGCTCAACATGTTGCACGACAGATCCATCCCTCTCGTCAAACACCAACTTGTAAACCACGAATACCTCAGTCCAACACTCCTGATGAGTCCATATTTTACTCTATATTTTACTCTATTCTTAGTATTAATATATGAGTCCCAACTCCTCGGTCGCAAGAACTTGCATTAGCATTTTTTAAAAATCTCTGGACATGTAGTAGCTCCCCCTTGGTTGAATCCACGAGATACGCTTTATCAGCATAAAACGAGAAGGGACATTCTTGCAGGTCAAGCATCTTTGCTTCTATCGGGTTCGAAGGACATATTGCTTTATAAAATACATGGTAGGTAAGCAAGTAACCTCTCGATCGCTTTTTGTAAATACAACTGTAATGAAAATTGATATGGTATAAAATGTTTCATGCTATTTAGTGCACGAATTTAATGTATCTATTATTCTTAAATTAAAAAAACTTCATAGCAACTAATATTACGAGCATAGAAGTAAAACCCCAGTTTGAGACAGTTAAAAACTCAAAGCCGAAAGTACGAAAATTTGTGATTAAATCAAAAGAAAAAAGCAAAATTGAGAGCAAAGAAGAAAAAAAATTGAAAACTCCCAAACAAAAAGAGCAAAAAGAAAAGCCTAATTTCTTTTAATAACCATTGCAACGACAACGTTTAAAGCTGTAAAAGCATTTCGTATCTTCACAAACCAACGCCGCCTCCTCCACTTCACTCTCTGGTGCCCCGTTTGAGCTGAACACATACCGAAATGGCGTCCTTAATGACAATGCTAAGAAGCAGCAGAGGGAACGCTTCCATCTTCAGCACCAGGAGGTGGGCCCACATCGCTGCCATGCCTCCGCCGTTGGGTGGGGCCATGCCTCAACCTAACATTTCACCGCCACTGTTGGTTCTGCCAGAGTCCGATCGGGACCCAGAGAAGAACAGAAACATCGGATTCGGGTTCCCGAGTTTCTTGTTCGGTGGATCCATGGAGCTCATGGCTGTCCCCAAGAGGAAGGTATAAATATGTATTTCTATGTATCTGGGGATTGGGGTTTTAGGGTTTTTGGTTCTGGAATTTATTTACTGGATTATATTTTTGGATTAAAAATGAATTCTTTTTGTTTTCATATGGAATTTCATTTGAATTGGTTAATGGGTTTTCAATTCCATGTTATTATTTGCTCTGATGATTTTGTTTGGTTCTGTGTATGGTAGAATTGTCCTGTTCTGTGTATTTGAACTTGCTTTTTCTGCATTTATTTTTGTTTTTGTTTCTGTTTATGTAATTAATATTTAGCGCATACACCAGTAGAAATTCGAGTTCAACTTTTGGATTTATGGTATGGAGGATTGTCTTTTTTTTATTATTATTATTACGACCCACTGTGATTATCATTCTTGAACGCAATCTCCGCTGTCTGATTCATTGTGGTAATCTTTCATGTATGCTTTTCATCACTTGTTGAAGTTTTACAATCGAAGGCAGCATGTCATACATACTATAACTTTGATGTTTCATTTGCTTTTTTGTTGTCATTGTGTTATTGTAATGCACGTTTAGAAGATATGGAGATTTGATATATAAGGATGTATATCGTGCAGACTTCTCCCCACAAGAGAGGCATAAGAAATGGCCCGAAGGCTCTGAAACCTGTTCCGGTGATAGTTCGATGCAGGTAAGTGCCTTGGGACTTTTGTAAGCTTTTCATTCAATGTGGAAGTTAATGTACTTCTGGAAATATTTCTTCTGTTCTATAATGAATATAGTTGAATAGTTAGCTGGAGGTTTGAATTGTTATTGAAAATTTGGTTGAGGATTATCGGAGGGAAACGACCATGTCAACTTCTTTGACAATGGAAGTTTATGGTATTCTTTCTGTGACCTCGTTGACAATTGAAGTTTATGGTTTATTTAGAATCCATGTGTTGAGTCGATGAAATAATTTTGGTTATCAAGATAGTGTCCATTGTATTACCTGCAAACAACATGGAAAATGATTTGGCAAATTCGGAAAAAGCATGAAACGAACAAAATTAGATGTTTATGTTTTTATTGGAGATGTATCATAATGCTTCAGCTATTCTTTTAATTATTAAACGAGGATATAATATCATTGTATGTCAGAAACATATGAGAAGTTGTGTGTTCTTATGTTTTTATCTTGTTGTTGAGTAAACCAGAACCTAGTTTCCCGATGTGAACTCAGTATCTAGTTTAATTGTTTGTGATTTTAGCCTATATTTGCAATGAAATCCAGCGTAGAGCAATGAAATCTTAATTTTGACATATAACAATATTTGGTTACAGGGGTTGTGGTCGTGTCAAGCTACCGCACTTTTATTGTTGTAGCGGTAGAGAAAATGCCGGTGAGCATGATGACTCAAGAAGTTGAGATTGAAGTCGCTGTGGTGTAGAGCACCCAACTATAGTAGACGTGTTGGATGGAGAGGTTAAAACCCTAGAATTTACTATCAAATGGCTCCTTTCTTTTCTGTTACTGTGCCAAAACTGAGATTTGTGGTAGGTCTTAAAGAAAAAGCAACCGAATTGATGTTTTGTTCACTTAATCAAAGGCAATTTTGTTCGCCCTCAGTTTCTGTTCGTCCTTCTAATGTTTTTCGCCCTCACTTAATGAAGGGTGTTGTTTGCATTTCGAGCATGGAGAACTTGTGTATATTAATGCATTTGTAGCAGAATGTGAGCAGACAAAGAGTTGAGGGTATACAATCATTTTGAACTCTCTTGCATGGGTTTAATACCCCGATGTAGGATTCATCCTCTCAACATCCTACTGAAGTTGTAGCGGAATGTGAATGTGGTACTTTTGGCATCTCATTGTAGTATGTTATGTTGATCTCTCTTGGGTTATGGTTAACTTATGACATTGTTACTTTCATCATGGTTTGTTATAACTTTTGTAATCTTCATCTCAGATTTTGAGGCACTAAAAGTGAGCTTATTTACTACCTAATGAAAGGTAGTTGTAATCCATCCCTCTAACTTACGGAATTGGATCCTCTCCGAAGCAATGCCTCGGGATCCTACTGACCGGACAACATGGGCCGGTTATAAATAGGGGAATCCCTTAAAGTTATAATAATTGTAGCCGTTGGATCAAAATCCAACGGTCCATGTTGTCTGGTCAGTAGGATCCCGAGGCATTGCCTCAGAAAGGATCCAATTCCCTAACTTACATTGCCTCAAAATCTGAGGTCATGTTTTCAATCAATCACTTAAAACCAGATAAAACCACACAAAATGCTTTGCGATGAAACAAGTTAACTCTATATTTAATCTTGATGCGCCACAAAGTTAAAGTTTAGTCTACAAAGAGTCATTAAGTTGTTACTTAGTAGTCAGTCACATATATTTAGCATAAAGTTTTCCGTACTTGAACCGCGACACTCCTTCCTACAGAAGTAGACTCGACTTCTAACTTTCCAACATCGCTGAACCCCCACCGACGCGCAAAAAGACTTCAATCTCATCGTTATCTTCGATTCCATGCTGCACAAATTAAGTGAAGCAACGATTAAGAACGGAGACATGCATTCAGATCATAAATGTATAAGGTAATAGATTTTAAAATTTAGAACTTTAACAAAAAGCACATGGTACTGTTTATTTTAACGAAAAATCACATTTTTTATACTAAAAAGTCAATTCTAGTACTATTTACTTTATCCTTTATTTGGTACTTATCGTTAAAATTCAAAATTTTCAAATCATTTTCATTAGTTTTCTTTTAAAATTCCATTGAAAGCTTGATCTAAAGAGATTCATGCTTGCCACCACCTTTTTAATCTTCACCTGCGTTATTGTCATTCAAAATCGCATAGATACCAAAGCAACTATAATTTCAAAAAATTAAAATTAACCTAAACAAACAACATACATAGGGCAACTTTTATGAAGCTTTACCTGCTCAAGAGTTTTCTTTTTGTTCACTCTCTGGCCATCAAAGATGAAATCCACTGCTTTGGGATCGATGTCACGCTTGGTGCAAAATACATCGATGAGTTTTTGCAGCTTTGCATTACGCCGCATCCTAAAGAAAGTTCTTTGACCATCCTACACAAGAATTTGGTGATATATAACCCAATAAATAAAGTGATCAAAGCAAAGATTGAAACACATTTGCTTCTGTAAATGTTGACCTTACCTCGTTGTACTGGCACTTGATATTGATTCTGTTTTCTTGATCAGAAGCTTTGGACATCTTAATCAAACTTGGATTTTTTTTCTTTTTTGTTTCCAGCTTTTGTTCTTGCGTTTCTCGTTGTTTTTGTTGTTTGAGAGCTCTCTGTGTCTTTGATCGATCACGCGCAAACTGAAACTGGTAAAGAGAGTAATACCAGCAATAGTACTGTAGTAGTGCAGAGGCTGAGTTTTGATTGGTTGAAAGGTACAAGTACCTTTAAAGGGATTCACCTACTTTGTAGAAAATGAAATCAATTATCGCTGATTCGGTATACTGGTGAGCTTTCTTCACCCGTGATTTTCCTTTTTTTAGATAGGAATCAAAGGATCCTGGCTTCTTCACGGCGTTCCATCATTTTAAAAATTGGAAAAATTTATAAAGAGGTATTTCAATTTCTTTTTTATCATCGTGTAATTTATTAACGTCTAAAATTAAATTTAAAATGTATAAAAAATACAAACCTAAAGTTGATTCTCAACCACGGTAGTTATCCGTGATTTTCCTTTGGACCACGATTCTTTCTCTACCAGGTTTTTCTGTGGCCCTGTCCATACCAGATTGTAACCTCACCAAAAAGTTAAATTAGAAGTGCTACAGAATTGAATCAAATATATAGTCGAGCGTGCTCTCCAAAGTCCACATTGAGAGTTGAGGCATGATGTCATTGACGTGTTTGTAGTAGACTAGCAGTGCAAAAGAAGCGGGATTTTTTTTTTTTTTTTCAAAATCCAAAAGTCTCGAGGGTTTTCAGGCGACTTAATAAAGTTAGTGTCCTTTCTTTTCATTATCTGCGTCATCCATCAAGTCCAAACGACAGAACAGAAGAAAGAAAGAGCGAGATAAAAAGAAACCCTAGCTAGCTCTGAAGATGTCTGACCCCTCTGGGATTTCTCCTGATGAAACCAAAGAGCAAAAACCCACCATTAATCTGAAGGTTAAGATTAACAAGGTTTGATCTCTCTCTCTCTCTCTCTCAGGTGCATTAACTTACTGAAAACGTTAGCTTTTTTTGTAAATTAGTTCGTATGATAGGAATCGTTTGCAAGCATTTGTAACGAAAAAGTTCAATAGTTAACGGAAGTTTGGATTGGATATATATGGATTCAAACACCCTTCAACTCCGTAACTCCAAACCCTAGTGGTATCTGAGTACCGAAGCATGGTTCTTATTTGTGTACTCTATTTTGCTTTACCTAATTTATTTGTCAAGGAAATTGCTGTTTTTAGCTTGGATGATTGAGTTTTGATTATCTCCAAAATGAATTTCTATTAGCACTTCAAAAAGTTGCTTCGCATTCCTCCCAACGAGATTCTCTCAAAGTGAGATTCTACATGCTCTCCGTAACTTTATGATTTTAGCACAGTATTTTATATTGTTAGCACAAGAATTGTGCTAAAAACATAAGGTTGCGGAGAGTCGAGCTTCACTTTGAAAATCTCTTTAGCATTTCTCTTCTTTATATTTACACTAGGGAGGAGGGCATATAAATATTTTGGATTGTAATCAGTTCAACTATTATTGTACGCCTACGATTTTGACTATTCTTGCTTTGTGATACAATGACATCCCCTTGCAGGATGGAAGTGAAGTGTTTTTCAGGATTAAACCAACTACAAAGCTAAGCAAAGTCATTGATGCATTGTGCACAAAACGTTCCTTGGATCGCAATTCCTTAGTGTTCATCTTCGATGGTGATCACATTAATGGCAAGAAGACTGCTGCGGAGGTAAAAATTCACTTAAGCTAGTCTTTAAAAAATTTAAAATCAATGGGGGAGAACCAAAGAAAGGATTAGAACTTGCACCTGTGAGTTTAAAAGTGGAGATTAAAAAGAGTCTATAATTATGATAGCACTAAAGCAAATTAAGCAGGAATTAATATCTTTAAATCATGCTTCCCCTGGAATTTAAAGTCAGTTGATATTTATCTATATAATATACATATGTATGTGTGTGTGTGTGTGTCCCTTCTGAGTGATGGAGTTACTTGACTTCTTGCAGCATCATATGGAAGATGGTGATGAAATCGATGTCTATCTTCTCACTGATGGAGGTTCAGCGACATTCAAGCTTGTCATGATGAACTGAATTAGAGTTGACGTATTTCATCAGAAAACATCTGTGGTTGTTAGCAGTCAACTTATTCGGCTCGTATGTGAAGATATGTGTTTGGTTTATGTTGTCTGTGCGATTGTGTTGGTGATGTTGATCTTTTCTTAGAGAAGCAATACCTAGAGGCCAGAGTTTTAGTTCCATTTAATTGAAAATAAATTTACTTACTTTGTGGCTTGCATAAATTTTCAGGATCCACATCTCGTTTGAGCTCAGCTCGTAAAAGAAACAAGTCAAGCCAAGTTAAAGCTCGATAGATTAGCACTATGATATCCAACTTGGCACGATTTTTTTATACCCTTATTGCACCTTTTAGCTTGATATATACTGATGTTGCTCATTCTTCGACAGCTTTTGGGGTCTAGCAGTTATCTAATTAACATGTCCCGTGATTCTCAAGCAGACTTAAAACACCCTTTTGTAGTGAATAATGTGGATCTGTTCCTGTATTTCCTTGGGACAACTCCTCCAAACTTTTCCAACCTACACACATGAAGATTTCCATAGGAGGTTATCTAACTAATCTGTTCCTGAAATTAATACGCGTGGATCCCTTGAGAGGGTAATAGTTATTCAAATTTGATGTGTACACATGAAATTCCACTCACTCAATTTGAGCCCGATCCTTCATAACAGGTAATAGATATTTAGATCTCAACCGTACACATGAAATTCCACTCACACTCGATTTTAGTCCCATCCTCCATGATAAGTAATATAAATACTTTCTTTTCGAGTTCTTAATTTTGTTATATGCCTGACGTGAGATCCTATTTTCCAACACGTCCCCTCACAAATGTATCTTCACATAACATAAACAAAATATAAGCATTTTGTGAGGCGCATTTTAGAACATGTCACACTATAGTTGTATGTCCAACATGTACGTAGTTTTCCTTTGTTCACCTAAAATTTTATTTTTCATTTAATACGATTACACTTAGTTGTTCTTGCACTTTTTCATTCTCCAATCCCTCGTTCCCATGTTCTTGAACATCCGTGACGTAAAGAAAACGATACAATTTGAAGTACTGGGAGAACACAAGCGGACAGGTAAGTTGTGGAGGTACAAAAAACAGAAGGCTTGAGCACTGCAACTCTTTCTTCAAAAACTAAAGGAGAGTGATGTAGGATCATTGTCGAAATTTCAAGCATGCAATGTTGCGCCCCATATTTCCTTTTTTCCTTTGTTGAGGAACCAAAAAAGGAGATGCAACACAAGAACTTCCGATGAGCCGCCATGCCCGCCACCACCAGAAGTGTCCTCTTTAGGAACTGTTCTAAAGATTCACATATTAAGAATGAAGATGCAATGGTCAGTACTTTCCTATTTCCAACAACCCCTAGAGTAGTGTATCAACTTAATTCCTATTCTTCGTTAGCCTCCCATCTTGTTTTCCTATAAATACTTTTCGAGTTCTTAGTTTTGTTATATGACCCTATTCTCTAACACGCCCCCTCACAAATTCTCAATGATATCCCTATCTTGTTCTCCTATAAAAAGAGCCAACAGGATCCTCTCCGAATTCTTTTGGTAAGGATCTTGAGAATTCATGATCGTATATATTCATTGTACATTTTATAGTCAGTTTTTGTTAGGTACTGTTTGTGTTTAATTTTGTATAAAAATATTTAAAATAATTTTTAACCGCACGATATACGATAAATGGACATGATTCATATATTTTTGTAATTTTCACAAAGAAGATCCGACGATGATCCGTATTCAAAAGTCTCCTTTCATCTCTAAGCGTTGCCCAATACTATTAATTTGGGCCAAAAACACAAAGAAAGTGAAAAAGCCCACTACTCCCAAAGTAAGGAGTTAACGGCTATAAAAGTACCCACTTAATTCCCACGCTCCCACTTCCCCACTGCCCCCTGCCCTGCCTGCCCCCCGCTCGTCTCTTCTCCCTCTCTCCAAGTCTCTTAAATAGTTGATCAGAACTGAACTGGAAAAACCCTTCTCTCTTGGCTGTATGTCTCTCTCTCTCTCTCTCTACAGAGCTCTTTCTCTCTCTCAAACTTTCTCTCTCTTAGCAGGTGAACTTTCTCTACCTCTTAATTTTATATAATTAATTTATTTATACGGAATGAGATTATTTGATTTTCTTGATATTTGCGGCCTACTGATGTTTTTCACAAATTTGCCTGTTTTAGGGTATTTTGTTTTATTTTTTAAATATTTTTAATGGAGTTTTGGGTGCTGCTGCTAAATTTTTAATTTGAAAAATACTAGGGGCTGTTGGGATGCGGGTCTTTTCAGTTTCAAGGGTTTAGGATGAGTGGGAGGGTGAGTGGGGCCTTCAATCACCGCAGTGGGGTCTTGGGCTTCAAAATCTCATCGGACGGTGGTGGAGGTTTCTTCAATTTTAAGCCTTTTTACAATATAGGGACATCATGCCCCACGTATTTGTGTAAATAGAGGGACAACATTTTCTTACTTAGATTGTGTCGCAATGTACATCTCGAAAGATTCTCTCTTACAATCAAAGATATAATTTCAACGGCATTACTTCTTCAATAAATTTTTGTCATGTGTTTAAATGCACCATCCGTCCCATAAGTGTTCTCCTTCAGTATCTTTGATTACAAGAAAGCTTATCTCTATGAAGGTATGCAAGCAAGATTTGCCTAGCCACTTAGCCAATTTCCTTCTCTCTATCCAAGTAGGCAATATTGCGTACTTCAAAACCATGGGTGCATTGGGCCCCAAATTATATATTAATGTCTATTTGATTTGTCTAGTTCCTTGAAGTGACCAACTTTTTTCATGAGTTGGAAGTGGTAGGCAACATGTCACATAGTTGCTATAGTAAAATTTTGGCCGCCTCGTATGCCTACTCACTTGGAGATGCTTTAAGATGCTGATGTTAATCCCTTGAGGCTAGCTCAAGTAGTGAGGGCGGGCAGTAAAACAACGGGATAAGATGTTAATATTTCTTAGATTGTGATTCTGAATTATCGATCATGCTGATTTTTTGCTAGAATGTGCCGTTCATATTTACAATTCAATATCATAAGTTAGGTGAAAATAATCCCATTTTGAAATGTGAGTTATTGACACTCCAAAAAAGTCATCTTGCACTTCTCCCTTTTACTTTTACAAGGATAAATTTGCACTTGAATGAGTGCAAGATGACCATTTTGGAATGTCAACAATAGTACCTTACAAAAAAGACAATAAATTTGTTACTTAACTGTCATAGGGATTCAATATGAAAAATGGAGTGCCGATTGCCGACTACCTGACACCCTCCCTCTTCTCTTTTATCCAAACTTGGGACCAGCAACGTCAGATAAACTTACACATCTGGAGTTAACTATATGTTTTTGTTATTTTTTTTCCTTACCCTAAAAGTCATTACTACTTCGCATTGCAGTTGGCAATTGGCATTAGTCTGTTAATGAAACAAGGCATTAGTGAGGAAGCAAGACACTGAGTTTCTCTCGTAGGTTGCTTGACCGGAAAGAAAAGCTTTCTCACAACCAATTGAGTTCGTTTCTCGGAAAATTTTCCAGGAAACGCGAAAGAAAATCAAGATGGAAAACAATCCAAGAGAGAAAGCCTTGGTGTACGTACTCAGACAGTTACAAGGAGTGCAGCATTTCAAGGATGCTCAAGAGAAGTTACAGAAGAGCATATACAACAGAGGGTTTTTCCTCTGCAGAAAAGTTCGGGAAAAACTTGGTAGTTCAGACAAGTTCATCGCGTTCCTAAAGCAACTGCACTTGTATAGCAGCGGAGTTATAGATCTGACCGAGTTTCTGAATCTGGTCGATGATGTACTTCGAGCGGATCAAGATCTTATGAACGAGTTTGATGCTTTCCTGGAGCACTGTGAGAAGGAGCAGATGAATTGGTCGCTTAGGAGTGAAAGCTGACTTTTGAACAGCTTTGTCAATAGCTAGTTTCGTTCACCTTGCAGAAACTTGTTAGCTTAATCTAGTTTTCCATTCGTCTTTGTATTAATGTATATGGCAGGAACTAATTTAGATTCGTTTTTAGTGTGTTTAACGTAGAATGTTAAATTTGAGTTTGTCGCTTAAGTGATTAAAAGCAGTTTATCCTTGTATCTGGTGCCAAGTGTTTGAATGTCCCCTCCCCTTAACACCCATCAAGAATAACTAAGTTAAATCTCAACTTATTTACTCGTGAGAAAAAATGTGTGGGTGAGTAGTTTGGGTATTGGACTCGTTCAAAACCTTTGCTTTTGAACTTGTGCGGACTTATGTACGATTAAGCTGGTTATACACGATTAAGAGACAAATTCAAAAGCACTAGTTATAATGGTAAAACATCACGAGATGAAAACATTGAAAACGCGTCTGGAAAGACCAAACGTTACATATTGATTGCCTTTTACATCTCTATGTTTGTTTACATTATAGTTATGAATGTAACACCACCCAAATCCCCTCAAATTATGACATGTACGTTTACTAATACCAGATCACGACGCGGTGTCACCAATCTACCGAAATTGGGAGAAATTTGGTACACAAGTCCTCGTGATCTGGATTTTTGGTCAGAAATTTGTAGTTCCTATCCATATTAAAATCTGGATTGGTATAAATAAAGGGTGCTCCACTAAAAACTTGCACCAGGGTAAGAATACAAGTACTTCATTTACACAGTAAAGAAAAAAACTTACAGCCAAAACTGTTACTTGAGATCTCACGTATCTATATAATCTACAGATTGAATAGTCCTTACAAGCTCCTTCAAATTGGCAAGGACATGGCGCGGCCCTAAGCTCTTAACGCCAATGTAATTCAAAAGCTGCTCTAAATCCTACACCCGCACAAAAGCAACGCTACGGTCAATATAGTACCGCATGACAATCTTAATGGGTTAAGAGAGTAGATAAAGCAAAGCAAAACAAAAAGAATCCTCCATTCAATAACTAAATCAGAAGAATACAGAACCAACAGGTCAAGAGAACATTCAAATGTGCTGAAAGTAGAGTCCCAGATATGGGTGGGTTAAGAGAAGAAAGACCAAGTACAGAAGGACGCGACATAAGAACACTTGTACTATATTAAGAGTTTACACAAGTCTTAAACTTGATTCATGTTAATCAGTTTTTATAAATTAGAATTAGAATGTAAGCAGTAATGATTAATTTACTTACTGAGCTATATATAAAATGATGTCATGTTTATTCAGTAGGATCTAATGTGTTGTTTGAGTATATATCCTGGCAATTTAGGTAATTTGGCAGTATAAGATTTTCCTATATAAATAGCCTTTCCGTAAATGGGTTTCATACAACATAGTCATTACTGATAATGATGGAGAATATTGATTTAACCAATAAAAAAAAATTAAAAAATAAAAAAAAAAAACGACGTGTTCTAGTTAATCTCCTTTTCTCTCTAGGAATTGTTAGTGGAGCTCCAAAATAGTCATCATTCACTCTCCTTTGTTGTTTTCACTAGGGAGGAGTGCATGATGAATATTTTGGAGTGCCAATAACATCTCCCACTCTCTCCCTCTCTTATATTTTTTTCCCGTCTCCTCCACCTCTCTCTATTCTTACATCAATTGGGTTCCAAGGCAAGCTTTTTAAATAACTATGTTTACCAAGGTTACCGTGACTGAAAAGCACATACAAAATGAGAAAAACACAAACAAATGCAAACAGAGCAAAGAAATGAAAGATTAACCATATGAAAAATAACAGAAACTACACTAATCTGAACAGGTGATATGGACCCCCAAGGAAAAGTTACGAACAAGTTTGCACCTTGTTTAATAAGAATACAGCATATGCAGCTCTCGTTGTGTCTTGGCCATCTAAAAAGAGAGGGAACTCCACATGCTTCACATCCGTTGAAACCACTATATATGACGACACATCAGATGAAGTAGGCTCTATGGATGGTCCATGATCAATAATATAGGAATGGGAACCACCCAAACGCAATGGATAACGCAACGGAACTTTTAAGTAGGAAGCTATAAGTAAGACAGCCTGCATTCAAAATCAATATAAAGAGAGCATTCTTATTTAAAACAACTGTGGCTAAACAAACAAAACAAATTGCCCCCTAAGAAATGAACTTGAATACGCATCTTAGAGTAGAAGCTACCAAATTCATCATGTATGAATTAGCAACTTAATAGTTTATATCAGGCAAAGAAGGAATACTACGCACATGACCGACATATCCCAGGGCTGTTGCAGACTTCTGAACCTCCTTTTTGTCAGTGAAAAAACTCATCATTTTAAAAGGCAGCATTGTCAAATGGAGACCTAAAATTGTCAATGTTCCTTGATTTGCAGGCTTAAATCGAGCAGAATTACCTGTACAATTTGAAGAAGAAACACAAGAAAAATATAATTCGAGTACAGCAGAATATATTACCAAAGGTTATTAGCCTTGACACAAAGAAGATATTAATTATTTCACAATAATATTCTTCAAAAGAAAATAAAACTGGATATGGATATTATGATACTGTAGCCAATTAAATCATCAAGAATATATATATGTATGTGTAGTGTATATATATATATATGTGTGTGTGTGTATATCAAACAAATAAATAAAACATTGGCATAGTAAACAAATATGTACACGAAAAGCTTCAAAAGAAAACATCTGCAATGCGGATAGCCCTGTCATTTGAAAGGTACTATTTTTTTTTTTTTTCTTTTCATTAACAATTTTGGTTCATGAGTTGTAACTTTATCTTTAAAGTGCACAATAGAGATTAGAGGTTACAGTTTAAAGTTTAGCTCTAGGGTGTAGGGCATTAACCCAAACTTAAAATCCTAAACCCTGGATGGAAGGGGAAATAATGCAAATTTTGAATGGCACAGAACATTCCCGTGCTGACATTACTTAAGAAGCAGGCTCAAGTTTCTCACACATACACGTGCACACACACGAAGCCTACTTCTAAAACGTGATCCTACATTGGGGGATTGTGCACCACCGACCAGCAAGGGATCCTTTGGATATGGCATAAAGAATTGCCCATATTTTGAATTTGAATAGAGTTCAAGGTCATGCATTGAGAACTCCGAGAAACAAACTTTTAATATAAAGAAGTGAGGTAGAACAAGTAAGAAATTTTGGGAATAAATTAACACTACATAACCACACATTCCCAACCACTAATCACGAGTTAGATTCAATGTCTTCATACTCAGACAACATTGACAAGCTAAACAAGCACTTATACAATTTAGGCACATGCGAAACAAAAATGATATAGTTAGTAATTCAAACGAAAGCCACATCTTACGACAGTTGGGATAGCAAATGTTGCCATAATATCCATAATTTCATGAATGTGGATAGATAAAATTGGAAAGAGTTGTAGTGATTGCTTGAATAATTAGCCTTTCCTTTCCTACCATTAGCCATATGGGTATTTACTGATTCTACCTCAGTTACTATTTTTCCGATTGCACTAATTAAACAAGGTATCATAAAACATAAAATAAATATCTCAGTAACATATACCTGATCTACTAGTGTTTGGAAATGACTCAAGTTCCTGTTCTTGTGCAGGACCCATAGTGAACTTTACAGGATATAGCAACGAAACTTGTGATATCATATGTTGTTGTCGCCTTCTTAGCATCTTTTGTAAGTTTTTAAGATGAACATACCCCTTGTCTCTGGAAAGTAGTTGATTGGACTCCTGTAACAAAAGCATAAATCAGATTTTCCACCAGACAACATAAACCAATTACTAAAATTCAACAGTAATTTTAAAACATGAAAAGGCACATTGAGAAGAAAAGATAGCATGGCAAACTTTTATTTTTGAAATAGATCATAAAGCAAATTAACATTAAAAGTCATAAAAAGAATCGACCTGATGGCACGAAACCATTAAAATATATATCAAGCATATGCATGTATATACACAACTACAACCAGTTTACCAATGATTAAAGAAAATTTTGAATTAAAAAGCAACCCAATCTAAGTCATTAACGGTGCTTTCAACACAGGTTGCTACTCCAAAAGAATCTAGAGTTTATAATTCATAAACATACAAACTCTCTTTCGCCCAACCACTGTTTGGTACATAATAATCCAAATCACTTTTACCTCCAACCGCTTCCTAGCAACAGATAGAGACGTCCCAGCAATCAATAGTGACCGAAGCTCTATACTAAGCTGCTCCTCTTTCTTTTTGTATTCTCCACAGCAAGCATAGAATGCCTTGACATGTTTCCCATCACCATTTTTCTGGCTTCCAGTTTCTGCTGCATCTCCTCAAGCTCATTTGATCGTCTCAATGACTCAGCTTCAACCTGCCAACAACAATGCCACCCGCTACCCCGCGGGCTAATCAATTAAGGCCTGATCAATCAAGTAACAACACAATGTGCCAGTGATGAGTCTGATGACTCTGAGCACAGTCAAAATACACTGTCAATTAGTCCTAAATTTTCAAATGCTCCAACTAAAAGCTAATGCACTGTCAGCGGAGGGGCATGAGGAACCTTTTTTATTGCTTTATTTGGTTAGTACAGAAAACAACTGGGTAACTCTATTAAGCCTTGACTTAACATTTGAATCAACTAAGCGATATTTCATTATTGTAAATACTGTGCAGTAGAAACCAAAGACAACACTTTTACTAAAGTTTCGAAGAGAAAACTATACAAAATATGCTGCCGTGTTTAATTTGTTAGACACGAAAAGAGAGAATGACGGCAAATAAGGAAATGATGTAAAATCTCATTTCTTTGATAGTGCGGACTATTCCGTAGTACGGGAAATGAAGAGTCCAGAATGAATTGAGGAAATACTATTTTTGTTTACCTATCTAATGGATATAAAACCGGACTACCCAATAGTCCGAATTATTGAAGACTCACCCATAAATTTGATGCATTTTTTGTTTCTTACATTCACTCCGCAATCAAAGACGGAAAATTCTTTTATAGAATTAAATTACAAAGTCCACAATTTCTAATTTCAGATCCTAATACCACCAGTTTAGTTGAAACTAGATTAAATCAATCCAAACAAAAAAAAAAAATTAATAAACCCAGTAACCTAGCTAAAATAAAAACCACCTTGCCGTACTTCCACCGGAATAATTCTAACTATTTCCCCCAAGTCTGTTAATCCAACAACCACAAAAACCCAGTTATATCCATATATCTAAGTGACGAACTATTTAAACTTCAATTTCTAACTGCACAATAAACAAAATTAAATCTCCATAACCATATTCAACTACATTTTCTCAGAATATCAAAAGCGCGAAAGTTGGGCATCCACTAAAACCTTACCTCAATAAGAGACTCGAGCTTCCGCTGAAGACTCTGCTTCTTCTCCTGAGCTTCGCTAAGAGCAGAAGAAAGACTCCATAACCTCACAATCTCTTGCTCGAATTCCTCCCATTCGATCACCTTCACGTTTTCGAGATCGCTCTTCGTCGACTCTGCAGACTGGGCTCGGTCTCGTTCCATTAAAAATTGGAGAGTGAGTTTCGCTTCGGCTTCGATTTGAGACGAGGCCGAGGGATCGACGTCATCGTCCCAGAATCACCAATTAGGGTTCAGGACACATTTTCTCGGGAAAATGTTTCGAAGGGTATTTTTTTTTTTTCTCGGAAAATTTTGATTAGGATTCGTATACCAGTTTGAAAGAAGGGCTTGTAAAGCAAAAGAATGACAGGTGGAGGGGAGACTGGCAGTTACCCAGGCGAGGATACAAATGTCATTTTAGCAGACCAAACAGATCCTCCGTTTAAGGGTGTATTACTGCATCCGGTTATACCTAATTCACAATGGATATTGTTGCTAGGAGCATCAAATTTTTTAAATCAAATTACAAACTAATAGATGATTAAATTATTAATTAAGTATCAATTAACGTGTTTATTTCTTATTGGTGACACATTATTTAGTTTGGAATTTGGTCTCCCTAGCATTACTTATCTACAATACTTCGCTTTGTAAATCCTTATTCAAAAAACATCAAATTGTGTCACATAGTACTACGGTCTAGTGATATTCCTCTTCCCTTATAAGTGAGAAGTCTTAGGTTCAATTCTCGTCAAAGGCTAATTTGAACCATATTATTGCTAGATCATTGTAAGGCTAAACCCACTCCCTCCCATTTAGTGTAGATAATATTGTTTGATAAAAAAAAAAATTAAAATCAAATTGTAGCAATAGTTCTTTAACTTTAACTCAATTGGAGTAATGATTCCTCAACTAAACATTCATGATCATTGGTTCCTTAACTCATCAAAACGTGCAATTATGGTCCTTTTTCTCAACTCCGTTAGAATTCCGTCAAAATGGGTTATGTTGGAAGGACCATAGTTACAATTGGATTAAAGAGATGAGATCATTGCTACAATTGGGTTAGGGTTGAGGGACTATCGCTATAATTGAGTTAAAATTGAGCGACTATCGCTCCAATTGAGTTAAAGTAGAGGGACCATGGATAAAAATTTTCTCATTTGGTTTTTCATATTTGCCCATTGATTCAGTCTCACGTGCATGACACGTGCATGACTCACTTTGACAAAAGTTCTAACGCAGTTGACGAAAATGACTATATCTGCACGTTTTGATGAGTTAAAGGACTAGTGATTATGAATTTTTAGTTGAATGACCATTACTCCAATTAAGTTCAAGACTATTGCTACAATTTCTTCTTACAAAAATCCATTTATTTAGCTATTTGATTATTATCATAATCATTTCATTTTTTTTTTTCAACGACATAGTTTTCTATTTTTATATGTCACAATTAGATACTAAAACGTCTGCCAATTTGGATTATATTTTGTAAGAATGATCTGTGAATGAAGACTACAAAGTGAACGACTTAGATCGTGAGAATATTGTATGGTCAACCCAAATGCATAGTATGGAACATATTAAATTACTTACTGATTAGACGATTCTACGTGTCATTTATCTTAAAAAAAATATAAAAGGGTTAAAAGGGTTACACGCATCTCCACTTAATTATTATCGCTTGATTTTTCTTGATTTATTTCATCCAAAATGCCCAAATTGACATGCACGAAAAAATTTAAGGTGTAAAAGTTACTTTTCTCGGCATATGTTAATTAACAAATGTCATTTATATATTTTTAGCAAAAAATAGTCAACACCTCTTGAAATGAAGATCTATCAAGAATGGCCTTCTGTTCGAACATTGAAAAAATTAAAAACTCAAAGAGTAACACAACCAAGTTTAGGGTTTAGGGTATCGACCTCCCTCCCGGCTAATGCCCAGAGGTGGCGGTGCCCGGAAACCATTAATTGGCAATGCCGAGAAATGTTAGTCGCAGCTACATATCACAATAGTTTGCTTGCCACACACTTTCTTCCCACAGTCATCAATTAAGGAAAGCAGTTCTCTTCGGATCTCTTCCACCAAATTCACTCAATCAATCAATTCGGATCCTTGAAATTTGATCCAAAAGCTACAAACATGAAACCCTTTTAAAAGTTATAATAACTTTAACGGTTAGAAGACCCCGATTAGGTGATTGGGTAAATTTAGTGGAAGAGATCCGAAAGGATCCCCTTCCATCAATTAAAAGGAGAAACTGCGAGGGTAGATTCCAATCAAATCAAATGAACACCCATATCAGCTTGGTTCTTACTTCTAACCAAAGTATACAAATTGTAATGAACCACCCAATTGGTTCTGCTAATTTTTGATGCCACAATTCCGGCTTCGACGCCTCTGGAGAGGACGTTGGGGCGGGCAGGTTGGATGAGCCAGACACCGAGGGCAGGGATTTTCCGGAAGGCGGTTGAGCCACATATTTCATTTCAGGTCTGATCCTTGGTGACCATTTCATCAGTGACATTTATTTTGTCAAAAGAAAAAACGCAAACAATTACTCCAAAACAAAAAAGTGGCCTGAAAAAAACCAGAAAAGCAAGAACTCTAACGAAAAGTACTTTTTAAAAAGCCATGTTAAAACCCAGGTCAGATTTGCGTTCCCAACAAAGTACTTTCTAAAATGCTCTACTAGAACAATACGCACCACGTTAACCTCTGAAGGATGCTAAGCATGCATTATCTCGGTAAATAAACAAACTTAAAAGAATCAGCAATACTTAAAAAACAAATAGAAGATGAAGATAAGGCAACATAAATATATAAGCTCAAAAATTATCCCTTCAACAGACGCAACAAAACTTGAAAAGTAAATAGTCTCAACAACTCAAAAACATCCTCCTCCCGAAGGCGGAAGCGACTGAAAGCATAAATCAGATGCGTCACCACCGCCTGTCCAGCACCCAATTCTGGGAGTGGACACTCGAGAATGAAAACATCAGACCGGAATCAAGACAATTACAAACTAAACTGACTAAACCACTTAAAACCACACAACTAAGATGTGAGCTCGTATCATAAAAGCATACGTTTGCGTCTGTGAAAGTTTGAGTTCGGGCCACTGTTCACTTCTTCTTGGCAGCAGACTTTGTGACCTTGGCACCGCTGGGATCCTTCTTCTCAACGCTCTTGATTACACCGACAGCAACAGTCTGGCGCATGTCACGAACAGCAAAGCGACCCAATGGTGGGTACTCAGAGAAGGTCTCAACAACCATGGGCTTGGTGGGAAGCATCTTCACCATACCTGCATCTCCGTTCTTCAAGAACTTTGGCTCCTTCTCAATCTCCTTTCCAGACCTCCTGTCAATCTTGGTAAGGATCTCACCGAACTTCACAGCAATGTGGGAAGTGTGGCAATCCAGAACTGGGGCATATCCGTTACCGATCTGACCAGGGTGGTTCATGATGATAACCTGGGATGTGAAGTTGGCAGCCTCCTTGGCAGGGTCGTCCTTGGAGTTGGATGCAACGAAACCACGCTTGAGATCCTTCACAGCAACATTCTTAACATTGAACCCGACATTGTCACCGGGGAGTGCCTCCTGAAGAGCCTCATGATGCATCTCAACTGACTTAACTTCAGTGGTCAGACCAGTTGGACCAAAAGTGACAACCATACCAGGCTTGACTATACCAGTTTCTACACGTCCCACTGGCACAGTTCCAATACCACCAATCTTGTACACATCCTGAAGAGGAAGACGGAGGGGCTTGTCTGAGGGCCTCTTGGGCTCGTTGATCAGGTCAAGAGCCTCAAGAAGGGTTGGTCCCTTGTACCAGTCAAGGTTGGTGGACCTCTCAATCATGTTGTCACCCTCAAACCCAGATATGGGAACAAAGGCGATTTTGTCGGGGTTGTACCCAACCTTCTTCAGGTAGGATGAAACTTCCTTCACGATTTCTTCATACCTTGCCTTAGAGTACTTAGGAGTGGTGGCATCCATCTACAAGAAGCAATGCAAACAAGGGAATAAGTGCATAATCAAATTCAGCAAACCAGTACAACAAAAGCAGTTTTACAAGTGAATAACAACCAGTCAGGAGAACACACAAATAACAGAAAACAGTTATTTGGCATCATCTAGAGTATAAACACTACAAATTCATAGATCATTACAGGCTTTTTCTAAGTTATTGATCAAGATGCATAAAGTTAAGGAAAAAAATGACATGTTACTTGCCCACACCTGCACATTGTTACAATAAGCAAAACAAACCCGTGCACAAATAAAAAAGGAACCAACACGGAATAACACAAAACTTGTGAAAATTCAACAATGCAGACGCTTAGACATAGCAAATTCAATTAAAATAATTGCATGCCACATCAATACAAAGCACTGAAGGTTTAGATAAACCACTTATAAATTGTAGGAGAGAGAGGGAATCGAACCCTCAATAGTTAACTGAGAACTACGCCACCAGGCAGTCCCTCCAATTCATAAATCCAAACATCTCCTAATAAAGTGGACACTACCCATAGTTTGGGGCATCATTGATGCCCACAAATGCCAATCAATAGAACCACAAAGGGCATTTGAACTATGGGAGGATCCCTTTATCGGATAGAACCAGCTGCACACAAAAGTCAGAAATAACAAAATAACATAATCATAATATTCAAAGACAATAAATTAAAGTGGGATTTATACCTTGTTACAGCAGCAAATCATCTGCTTCACACCGAGGGTGAAAGCAAGAAGAGCATGCTCACGGGTCTGTCCGTCCTTGGAAATACCAGCTTCAAAACCACCAGTGGTGGAGTCAATGATGAGGACAGCACAGTCAGCCTGTGAAGTTCCAGTAATCATATTCTTAATGAAATCACGATGCCCCGGAGCATCAATGACTGTGCAATAGTACTTTGTGGTCTCAAACTTCCACAAGGCGATATCAATGGTGATACCACGCTCACGCTCGGCCTTAAGCTTGTCAAGCACCCAGGCATACTTGAACGACCTTTTGTTCATCTCAGCAGCTTCCTTCTCGAACCTCTCAATCACACGCTTGTCAATACCTCCAAGCTTGTAGATAAGATGACCAGTGGTGGTCGACTTGCCGGAATCGACATGGCCAATGACCACGATGTTGATGTGAAACTTCTCTTTACCCATGTTAATTTACCTACACACAACATGCAAAATGAATTAAATCAACAATTCATCCCACAAAACAATATCAGAATAATAAAAAAATAATCCCAAATGAAAATAATTGTAATCTCTTTCAAATTTAATACCATATAGTAAGTTTGTTCTTTAAAAACAATTCT